GGACTCGGGAGGCTGAGTCAAGAGAATTGCAATTTCAACACCAGCCTCAGCAATTTAGTGAGACCCTGTCTCAAAATGCAAAATTTAAAAGGGCTGGAGATGCATCCCACTGGTAGAATGCCCCTGGGTTCAATCCCCAGGGCTGGGGAGGGAAAAAAAAAAAATCAACATTCGAGTCCGGGCCCTCAAATTCAAAGACCTCAGCCATGAAATTGTCACACGGTGGTGACCGTCATTCAAAGCAACATTCCAGTCTCGCTCCGCCTCATTGGTGATGCTGACGTCATAGGCAGAACTTTCACACGTGCAGCTTGAACGGCGTGAGCACGGGAGCCCGAGCTTTCCAGGTCAGACCGAGAGGCGACAACGGGGAGGGAAATCCATCCCCTGATTTTTAACTAGGCTCAAAAGTTTAGCCAACGGATCAGAATCAGCAAACACCGGTCTTGCAACATCTCGCGAGAGTCCCGAGCCGCTGGCTGCGCGTCTCACACCCGCTTCAGCTTTCGGCTGACGAGCTGCAGCGGACTCTGCAGAATGCGCTGGTAACGGTTTCCTCCTTGACCTTCAAGTTAATTATCCCTGTTGAATCTTTAATGTCTCAAAAAGACGTGGCACTTATGTTGCTCGCAAATCCGTGGGTTTGATGAATGCCAGCATATGGATTAAATGATTTTAATGTTTAATATCTCTTATGAGCAGTCAAAAGTCTATTAAAAATTAATATAAAAATAATTCCCACTTTCCCCTTCTTACGCTGTCGGGTAACGTTATTTTACACCGCGCTGTAGTGTTCCACAAGTTGACATTCAGCGATTTGAGTTAATGAACTTGGTGATTTATTTACTGCCTTTGGGTGTTATTCCGTTACTTTTTCAATTGCTGTGAGACTTAATGCATCGTGGGCTGAGACCCTGAGCAATCAGATGAACTATGCTGGGCAGATTTTTTTTTTTTAAATGGGATCACGAATTAAAGAAGAAAGACTAAATTAGTATTTCTAATATGCTAGTCAGCGATGCTGGGCTCCAGGTTGGTGGGCTTGAGAAGGAACATTCCAGAAGTGATCCTTCCACAGTCAGGATGCTCGAGGAAACCTGGCTTCTGCCCTTGAGTAGCTGCTTATGTCCTGGCAAACCAACATCATCCATGGAGCTAAAAAGCAGAAATCTCTAGGACCCAGTGTATTGTTAAGAGGCAGCTGAGATTTTGAAAGTATTGACATTTGACATTTGTCATATCACCCTGCAAATATTTAGAACTTCCAGAAGTGATTGTTATGCTCCATGCCAAGACCAAAATGTGTCCATGCATTTGATTTCTTGGACTGTTTTATTGGGCAGTAACAGCCCTTAGCCCAGCCCTGGGGTCGGGGACTGAGAGCACATCACACAGAGATGACATTCCCCCTGGGAGGCTGTTTAGTCATTGCAGGAGAGGCATCCTGTGTAGATCACCGTCCCTGATGGAAAACTCTGGGGAGGTAAGGCTGAGCAGGGAAAGATTAGAGGAGGTCTCACCCTGCTGCTCTCATAATCACAGATGAGCTAGGGCAAAGAACTGTTGGCCAAGAGGACAGAAGCACAACTCAAATTCAGCAACAGCAACCTTGGTCAATACAAGCCAGTAGGGTTCCAAGCAGCCACCCTCAACCCAGGCAAAAGTTTCTTCCAGCCAGCCCAACCCACCGAGCCTCTGCCCTGTGATTCCGTTTATTGGAAATGTGCCAATGGAAAGGGAAACTTTTTACTTGGAAGAAGAGGAAAGGATATGGGAAGGGAGAAAAAGCTCAATATTCTTGCAGAAAAACAGGCTTGATGACCTGACACTGTACTACTAATTCCAAGGGGTTGCAGGGAGCCAGCCCCAGGCTGCTCAGGCAATTTGAGATCAGCCCAGCCAAAATACAAGAAGGAAACCCGTGCTAAGAGGAAGTGGTAGATGTTTAATTAATAAGCATTTATTAAACTTTTGCAACATTATGCAAAATACCAATGACACAAGAAGACTTGAATAATATTAGTAATATTATTCCTATATCAAAAATATCACGTGAACTCAATTTTCATACAATTTTCCTGATTAGTCTGATCTGGAATATCTTGGCTAGACAAAACTATCCCTTCCTTTGTCCTGAGTTAGAGTAGGTCCTTCATTCCCCCTTCCCACTAAGGCCATTACCTGCCATGTCACAGGAAGGGCTGGCCCAATTCTCCAGGGTCTATCGTTTATGCAGTGAAGATTGTATAGGGTTGTGGTTTATCCAGTGGATGGAGATCTTGGCATGAATAGCTTCTCTTGTTATTGGGTGTTTTATTCATTTTTGATACTGGGGATTGAACCCCGGGGCATTTACCACCAGCTACATCCCCAGCCCTTTTTATTTTTTTGAGACAGGGGTGCTGAAATTGGCCTTGAACCTGTGATCCTCCTGCCTCAGCCTCCCAAGTCACTGGGATTATAGGAGTGCACCACTGTGCCTGGATCATTTGATGGTTTCTGACTAAAAGTTATTGCTACAAAAAAAAAAAAATAGAAGCAACAAGATTACAGTTGATGTGTATTCTGAGGAAAGTTGGTTTTTTTGGCTCTGTGATGTCATAATCATCCTAATAGGTCCCAAAAGCTATGTAGCCTGTGGGAAATAAAGACTACTCTAGGCCTCCAAACCTACCACCAAAAATTACTATTTTGTAAATAAATCACTCTGCCCCAAAATACCCACATAGTTCATTCTAAAGTATCTGATTTCAGGTTCCCCAAGGAACCTGGATGAGTAACTTAGTGTAGGTGTATTAAACAGAGACAGCCATGAATGGTGCCCAGATCTGGGGTGGATATGGTGTGGGCAGTCCCAGCCTGGACTGACTCAGGGCTCTGCATCTCTGCAGATGGTGGCCTATCCAGTGGCCACCAGCATCTTTGGGAAAGTGGCCACAGCCTGGGCAGATGACAGAAGGAAGATGCAGGAATGCAACCCACCTTAGTCCCTGGAATAGGTGGATCTCTTTGGTCCCAGTTAAGTCTGCCAAATTCCCCAAAGCCTCCCTTATTTCTCCCAAAAGAACAGACTCCAGGGAGGTTCCACTTGAATGCAAGCAAAGCTCTGGGTCAAAAGATGCTGGGGCCCCAGCTGCCATCTTGAGACGGTTAAAGCAGAGAATCTAAGGCAGAAAAGAGTCGTGTTATTTTGACCTGAACTTCCATTGTAGCATTCAGACACGGTGGGAGTGGGTGTGAAGAGTTTTGAGACCTTCATGTACCTGTTGGTGTTAACTTATAACAATAATCACTACACTGTAGCTATGATCGTAAATGCTCAGCTTCTATCCCGATCTTGATTTTGACAACTTAAGTTTAATGTTTAAGCTTGATAATAAATATTGTTGAAATCATTGACTTAAGAATTTACTTTGTGTCTGCTTTTTTTTAATTATTTTTAGTTGAGGATGGACATTGTACCTTTATTTTATTTATTTATTTTCTATGTAGTGCTGAGGATCAAACCCAATGCCTCACACAGGCAAGGTAAATGCTCTACCACTGAGCTACAACCCCAGCCCTTGTGTCTGCTTTTTAACATGCAGTTTTTTTCCACAGCAATCCCAAACTCTTCTAGGACTATTACCCACATAAATGTGGCCTCTGTTTTCATATTGAGATTATTGAGATGTACTTGAATGTTTCTGCTTTTTGTTAATTTGCAGAACTCATTCATTCTCAAAATGAAAACTCTTACAATCTAATCAAATACCCTCAGTCTCCCCCTCCAGCCCTGCTGCCCAGGCACAGCTCCACCCCACATCCTGTTATGGGAAACAAATCCATTACCTTCCCTCCCAATGCACTTCCTCATCCAAATCTCCCTATTGATTTCCACCAGTTACACAGTGCAAGTGTTCCTCTTTGGAGACTCCAAATCCATTTATTTTATCATCCATTGGGATCCCCAAGTCTCCCAAATTACACATAATACTTGATACATGTGTGCATATTTTCTAAGAATACTTAGAGTTTTCATTCTATTCTCAAAGCTTCTCTTCTCCAAAAGAAGCAAAATCTGTCACTTGATCGATACTATTATTATACTATTCTTGTAATGGTCAATCAGCCTCCTGACTGGTCCCCTGCCTCCAGTCTCCTCCTCCTGGTGCATTCTGTACTGTGACATCACCCCCATTTCCATCCCCCCATTCAAGGTTTGACTGCTTCGGCTTCTCTCCCCCTCCTTCTGTTCTGACCCTGGTACCACCATATCGCTTTAATTCCTACTTCTACTTTCCTACTTGGAACAGCTTCCTGGCCTCCTCACCAGACTCTTCAAGGCCCAGTAACATACGCCTCCCAAACCCAGACCAGCCCAGAGACAGAGTCTGGTTTCATACAACATAATAAGGGAGCGGGGTCAAAAACCCCCCTGTATGGGAACTGCAGAATTGAGCACCTTGAAGAATGAGCTCTCCCAGGTTCCAGCCCTGAGAGCCAAGGAGCGCTCCAAGGTAAAGAAAAGCAGAGAGCCGCCAAGGGCTGATCCTCCATTTCCACTGCACCCAGGTGTCCCAGCCGAGCCCAGCACAAAGAAGCCCCTGACACATAGAGAATGAAAGAGGGATGTTATGTTGAAAACAAAATGTATCCAGGGGCTGGGACTGTGGCTGAGTGGTAGAACGCTCACCTAGCACATGGGAGGCACTGGGTTCAACCTTCAGCACCACGTTAAAAATAAATTTAAAAAATTAAAGTTATTTTCAAAAAGTCAAAGAAAATAAAATGCATCTAGAGCCAGGAACAGTGGCACCCCTGTATTCCTAGCTACTTGGGAATATGAAGAGTCACAGTTCAAAGCCAACCTGGGCAACTTAGTGAGACCCTGTCTCAAAAAAAGAAGGAAGGAAAGAAAGAAAACATGTATGATAGGAAGGCGAGAGTTTCACAGCATCAAAATTTGCCTGAAGAATATGTCAAACAAAGTGCTTTAGACAAATGAGTTATTTCACTAGTCCTTATGTCAAAAATGTTTATTCATAAATTGTGGGTGACAACAATTAAATGTGATTTTCAAAGCCGCTAGTAGAGAGGATTTCAAATGACTCCAACTCAAAGAAATGGAAAATGTTTGAGGTGATGAATGTGTAACTACTCTGATCTGATCACTGAACACTGTATACATGTATTTAAATGTCACACTGTAACCCATAAATATGTACAATTATTACATCAATTAAAAATAAACAGTACATTATAAAAAGAACAAAATCATTACTTATAAAAGCATTGTCGTCTCTAAGTGCTTCAAGCAGTGCACTAAAAGTCAGGTGGCATCTTTAATAAGAGCACTTGAAATACACAACTTGCTAATAGCATTTTTTACAGATGTGATTACAAAGTCAATCTAAAGTGGGGAGAAAGAAAATATCCTTGAGGGCCTGGGGCTGGGGCTCAGTGGTAGAGTGCTCGCCCAGCACGTGCGAGGCCCTGGGTTCGATCCTCAGCACCACATAAAAATAAGTAAATGAAGGTGCTGTGTCAAACTACAACACAAAAATAAATATTAAAAAAATAAAATACCCTTCAATTAATAACTAGTTAAATAATCATCTCAGACACCTGCTCAACTACTGTTACTTATGCAACTAACCCCGGGCATAACTATACAGGAACACATTTTAAGCCAGTAGTGTTGGTCTCTAAGGAGCAAATGTGTTAAGTCTGGTGTTCAATATGAAGAATCTGTATTGATATTAAACCTTGGGCTGAAGAGAGAACAAAAACCAGGCTAGTGCCCAGCTACGGAACCACCCCGTGGTCTATTATATACGCAGGTGACTGTGCTCTACATAATGCCGTTTTCCTGAAATGGAAGACCAGGTGAGAAGCTGGTGGCTGAGCAGACAGGACCCGCTCTTCACATCCTCAGTGGTCACCAAGAGAAGGTTCCTGATGCTTCATCTTCATTCACAGGGGATAAGGAACAGTCTTCAAGGGGGGGAAAGTGCAATCCCTTGCACAGATGGTATGCAGCTGCCATGGAGTCAGCCCCCTCATGACAGCCTAGGTCTCTAAGTTTCCTCTAGACTTAACCATACCCTTTGACCTCTGTGCACAGGAAGCTTTAAAAAAAAAATAAAAAAAACAACTTTCAATTAAGTTTCTGAAACTCCAAGAAAAAATCCTTGGAGATCTCCTCCAAAGACTCACCCCAAAGCTGGCTGCCCACAGCTTTCCACCAGTGCCCATCGGTGCCCCAGACCCAGGGGAGGATTTCAAAACAGGCGATCCCTCAACATCACCGCTCCTCCCCTTTCACATGAGATGAATCAGAGGCCTAGGAAACCTGAGACGGGCAAAGACTGCACCAATTCCCGTCCTCCCAGCTCTCGATCATCCAGGATACCAACAAGGTAGAGTTGGCTGCTCAGGAGGGGCAATTTGGGTCCTTTAGGAGCCTGCAGAGCTGTGTTTTTTTACTATTATTGGAAAGACATTACTCCAGTTCACTGGACTTCTTTCAATTACAAATTGATTCTCCACCCTCTCCAGACCTTTCCCATCCATTTCCTTTGGAAATGGTCTGTCCACCGCTATCCAGGTGTGTGCTCTGATTCCTGTCTTCTGCACTCCCGTGTAAAGTTCAGCAAGCGCTGGCAAAGAAAGGGAGGAAAGGGTCAGCGCATCACAGGCTTCTGATGCAGCCAGGGGTCAAGACCTCAGATGGGACGCCTGCCCAGGGTGCCCGGCAGAGGAAAGACTCGAAGGTCGCTCTGCCGTTCAGCTCGTAAGCTCAGGGCAGTGCTGCCTTGCTGTCGCCAATTAAAACACCCTTCCCAGCTAGGTGCAGTGGCACACACCTGTAATCCCAGGGGCTTGGGAGGCTGAGGCAAGGAGCATCATGAGTTCAAAGCCAGCCTCGGCAACTTAGTGAGGCCCTACACAACTTAGCAAAACACTGTCTTTAAGTAAAATATAAAAAGGGCTGGGGATGTGGTTCAGTGGTTAAGCGCCTCTGGGTTCAATCGCTGGTACAAAAAAAAAAAAAAAAAAACTTCCTCCCCCTTTCTTTCTCCCTCCATGGTTTGGACAGATGGTCCAATTCGTCAGCAACCAAGGCAGAGAGGATGAGCTGAGCTGACTCATTTAGGAGCAGTAAGTCCTTCCAGAGAAGATTCCCCATTTATTTAGACACTGGAGCAATCATTGACTGGCTGACAGTTGTGATTACTTTTACTGCAGGCAGGCAACTGTTCCAAAAGTCAAGCTCCTGGGATGACTGGTTTCTAAAGGGCTTTAGGAACAAGGGGTTTTCAAATGGTCATCATAGTGTGTTCAATGAACTTTCCACCCGGGTCAGTCCCTTCCTCTGTGGCTCCTCACCAAGGCAAGGTGGAGATTCCCAGAAGGGAGCATTTCGGACCCACAGAGACGTCTTTCCTCCCTGCTCCTTTGTTTGAAAATGGAACCTGTGCAAATCATGGTTGGAGACATTTCACAGGTTTGCACATAATTATCCCAACATTTTCAACTGCTCTGGGAGTCGGCATTAAATTATATCCTTCACCAACCTTTTAGCAATAACAGGGTAAAATCAGTTGCAGAGTCATGGTGTCCCATGGTGACTTCTCCCTTCAAGCCACCCATTTCTGAAGGAAAAATTAAGTCCACAGGAACTTTGAGACACGATTTCTAACCAGATCACCAACCACGGTAGACTGGAGAGCCTGACTTGGCAACAACATTCTCCAGTTGATAAGAAAAGACCCTTTTGAATCCCTGTCAACATTTGACCATCTCTGCAAATTTGACATTTGACAGAATCAAAAAGCACGTGGTTAAATGTTCCCACCAGTCATCAACCACCTAGCTGAACTCTGGTCTTGAAGAGTTCATAATCATTCCTTTGTCTGCGTGGTCTGTCCATCCACCCGTCCTGAGGCAGCAACAAATGCAAAATCTCATGACTGGGAGAAGACCCGGAGAATTTAAGGCCAGCACCTCTGGAAGAGGCGGCACTGCTAGTAAATTGATGAGAACATGGAGTTGAAAATCAGCAAGGAGTGAGCCATATAGACTGTTAATTTGCAGAGTATTTCTTTAGGCTCCTTAACATAGTTAATGCATATATCTTGTAAAGAAATTTTATTGTAAGTAATTTGTGCTTTCAATTTGGTTTGCTGACATGCAAACTGATTGGTGTCTGTGATCTCCATAGGAGGGATCTGCATTCCACAGCCAACTTCTTTTGCAGCCCATAGAAATAAAAAATCTTCATTTATTGCTAGGAAAATTGAAATATGCTACATAACTGTCCCCAAAGCCTGAAAAATACTTGGCTAAAAGTATGAAAATAGGCTTTTATTCATTCATTCATTCATCTATTCATTTTTACCATTTAAATTATACAGCTACTATAGTTTGGACCTGAAATGTCCCACAAAAGATTCATGTGTTAAGGAGATGGAGCTGTGTCTCAGTGGTAGAGTGCTTGCCTAGCATGTGGGAGCCACTGGGTTCAATTCTCAGTACCACATATAAATAAATGAACAAAATAAAGGTCCATCAATATCTAAAAAATAAAAAAAGATTCATGTGTTGAAGGTTTGGTCCTGGCTGGGTGCGGGGGCACACACTTGTAACCCCACAGTTCAGGAGGCTGGGGTAAGAGGGTCGCATGTTCCAAGCCAGCCTCAGCAATTAAGTGAGGCCCTGAGCAACTTAGTTAGACCCTGTCTCAAAATGGAAAAAAAAAAAAAAAAAGAGGAACATTTAAGCGGGTGCACTGGCACAGGCCTGTAATTCCAGTGGCTCAGGAGGATGAGATAGGAGGATCACAAGTTCAAAGCCAGCCTCAGCAATTTAGCAAGGCCCTAAGCAACTCAGTGAGACCCTGTCTCTAAATATAAAGTACAAAATAGGCCTGGGGTCGTGTCCCCGAGTGCCCGAGTCCAATTCCTGGTTCCCCTAAATAAATAAATAAAGTTTAAAAGGGGTGGGGGGTGGCCTGGGAATGTGGCTCATTGGTTAAGTGCCCCTGCATTTAATCTTTAGTATTAAAAAAAGGTTTCGTCCCTGCTGTGGTAGGTGGTGGAAGATCTGAGAGATGGGGCCTAGTAGGGGAACTTTAGGTCATTGTGAGGTATCCTCTATAGGGATTGTGGGACCTTGGCCCCTCCTGGCTCTTTTTTTGATTCTTATGCTTGAGCTGAATAACTGGATTTGCTCCACCATTGTTCCCCCACCATGACCCAAAGCAATGGGACAGAAGGATGATCAACTGAAACCTCTAAAACTGTGAGCCAAAATAAAACTTTCCCCTTCATAAGCTGATCATCTCAGGTGTTTGTTGTAGTAGTACAAGGCTGACTCACACAATATCCTTTGGTATTACACAACCTTTGCAAGTCCATGTGGGAACAGGTACCAAAGTCACCATCACCTGTGGACCCTAAACCTTAAAACCTCAGGGCAGCATCAAAGGACAAAATCACAACAAAGTGAGTGTCAAGATTTCAACTGACTCTATCTGGCAACATTTGACTCTCTAAAACAGAGTAAGTATTCCAGGAGGTTAAGCAGGGGAGATTGGTTTCATAAACAGAAAAAGACTGAAGAAAGCAGAAAGAAGAAACCCAAAGTGGACTGGCCATTTTAAAGTTACTTTCTTTGTAAAGTGAAACAGGAAGACAGAATAACAACAACAAAAAATAATAATTGTCAGATTCTTTCTTTCTTCCTCCCCCACCTCCCAGTACTGGGCGTTGAAATCACAGGGGCTTCACCACTGAGCTACATCCCCAGCCCTTTTTATTTTCTATTTTGAGACAGATTCTCACTAAGTGTTTCACTGAGGGTCTTGCTAAGTTGCTGAGCCTGGCCTTGAACTTGCGATCCTCCTACCTCAGCCTCCCAAATTGCTGGGATTACAGATGTGCATCACTTCACCTGGCAATTTTTTCTTCCTCTTCCTCTTCCTCCTCCTCCTCCTCCTCCTCCTCTTCTTCTTCTTCTTCTTCTTCTTCTTTTTGTAAGAATTAAAGCAGAAGATTAAACTTTGAGGTCACTCAGATTGAAACTAGCCTGCTTGGGACATTTGGCCATTCTCTCTCTGATTTCAGGAGGTTTGCAGGTGATACAGAACTTTAGCATGAGTTCTCCCTTTTGACTGTTAGTTTGGCCTGTCAGGACCCAGTGCAAGAGATTGGTCCAAAACAATGCCCACCATAACTGTTATTTAACAGGAGTAAATCTTGGAAATTGAGAGTCTCTAAGTTAAAGTACAAGTTTGGAATCAGACTGAACTGGGTCCAGATCCCACTCTTCCACTTCCAACTTGTGACAATCCTATTTACCTTGCAAAGGTGGAGAATACAAATAAAGTATGTGGAGCACCCAGCATCATGCCTTGCTCAACAAACTGACCAACCTATTACCTATACTGGTGACTCACACTCCCCTCAATGACATGTACCTTTCATGTATCTGTGTGAAGGACGCACTGTCTGCCAGCCAAACTTCCTTCATGGCAGATCTAACATCCTGGGCATTGAGAAAGTTTCTAAGGTGACAGACACTTGTACTATCACATAAGTGCAGTCTAGCCATTGGTCACCAAGTATGGTCAGTGGTCCTGCACCAGGATCACCAGTAGTGCTGGTCGAGAAAGCTGACTTCCGAGCCCCACAGAAGGCAGGCTGCCTGGGTCAGGATGAGCTAAGCTACGCTGCAGGAACAGCTTGGCTATTCACTGGGGCTGGGGCTCAGTGGTGGACGCTTGCCTTGCATGTGTGAGGCACTGGGTTCGATTCTCAGTACCACGTATAAATAAATGAACAAAATGTCTAAAAAATAAAAATAAATAAATAAAGATTCATGTCTTGAAGGTTTGGTCTTGGCTGGGTGCGGTGGCAGACACTTGTAATCCCAGGGCTCAGGAGGCTGAGGTAGGAGGATCGTAGGTCCCAAGCCAGCCTCAGCAATTTCTTATTTCTCCCTCTTGCTAAGTCCACTTTGGGCCTGAGGCCTCCAGGGAATCCAGCTTGTCTCCAGGCCTCTTGCTGCTGCTGTGGAAGGGGAAGGAGAGAGAGAAAGTGACTGCTGTCCCATTTATGTATTTATCTATAGGCCAGAACTTGTCACAGGACACCAACCACTGCCAGGGGCTGAGGGATGGGTGGGGGAAGGGAGGGCTGAATATTTGGTGAATGTCCTCACGGAGGCAGAATCCCGGGTGTGGGATCCAGGAGCCTCTGTTTTCAAACTCCCCAGGTGACTGAACTGCACAGTCAGTCCTTACCGGGCTGTGATTAACCACAGGGAACGTCCCCTCATGGGATGAGTAGTTTGAAATAATGGAAATGAAGGGTCGATCATAATAGAAAGGAGAGTCTCAGAGTCTGTTACACAGGGTCCTTTTCTAGTTGTCATTTAAGTGTGACTCTTCGATGCCTTCCCGGCCCAGACTCTCCCCTGCCTTGGGACCTTACACGTTCAGTTGGGGTCTCCCAGTCGCCTCCAAACTTAATTCACCCATCTCCACATCCAAGGACAGTACCAATGTGTGCCACCACCACCCCAGGTCACTGCTAACCCTTCCCAACTAGGGAGTCTTCCTTGCCTCTTTTATTATTTGTTATTCCTCAAATTCAGGCATCAAGACTGTGTTTCCGGGCCTGGGGCTGTAGCTCCGTGGCAGAGCATTTGCCTAGCGTGTGTGAGGCCCTGGGTTTGATCCTTAGCAGCACATAAAAATGAAACAAATAAAATAAAAGCATGCTGTCCATTTACAAGTGCAAAGAAATTTTTTTTTTTAAAAAAAGACACTCTTTCTTCCTCTTTACCTTCTAATGTATCTGTTCTCTCTGCCTTCATTGCTATTCCATGGCCAGGGATGCAAAGTTGGTCTCCCTGCCTGACCCAGCTTCTCTCTCTTCTTTCTCCTATGCTACCGTGAAAACGATGATCTCCTTCTACAATGAGCATCTCCCCATCTTCTACCGCTCAGCAAGACCCCTCTTTTCTATGATGCTTATGTTTGTCAGCTTTCCATCCTGTGACAAAACACCAGAGATGAGCAGTCTATGATGAGGAAAGGTTTATTTTGGCTCACCGTTGTAGAGTTTCAGTCCTTGGTCACTTGGCCCTATTGCCTAGGGTCTGTGGTGACACAGTATGTCATGGCAGAGAATGCGTGGTGGAGGAGGCCTATTCACCTCATGGCGGCTAGGAAGAAAAAGCAAGAGACGAGAAGCAGCACACAATATCACACCCACAAGGACCCAACTTCCTCCAAGGAGGACTCACCTTTTAAAGGTTCCACTACCTCCCAGAAGCGCCAAGGTCAGGGATCAAGCCACTACAGCAGGAGTCTTTGGAGGACATTCAAGGTGCAAACTCTAGCGACGCCTTTCCTGATCTTTTTCTTTTCCCTTCCACTGTTCCCAACACACTTGCCTCATGCATCTGTGGTGGCTGTCACCTGTATATATGTCTTCCCTCAACTAGCATGCAAGCCCCCTGAGGGCAGGTGGCAAGTCTCTTTGGGCTTCTCACAGTCTAACACAGAGCCTGGCACATCATAGGCCGGAAGGAAGAAAGAGATGGGACTTTTAGAGACGAAAGTGCTCTATAAAAGTTGGTTAAATGAAGGAATGAGTAAATATCCAACCATCCTCCTCTGCTTAATTATCCTGAATATCCAGTAAAGGATTTCACCAAATCCAAAATGATAAACTAATTAAAATTGACTATTCATGTATATGCATATGGTGGTTTTTTTTCTTGAGAGGACGTGATAATGAAGTTCATCTTCATTGGAAACCATGTTCTGCAACTCTGATCAAAGACGGAAATAAGAGCAGCAGCAAATCATCATGCTCGGGGTGTTTTGAGTGCTGGGGCTGTGCCAGCAGAGCTTCATTATAACATGCAGAAAAACAATTTTGAGTAAAATCAAGTAAATTAAAAATAACATCAAGCGAATTAAAAAGAAAACTGCTTGAGCAAACTAATTCCACAGTTTGGGAAGTGCTTACCAAAGAAAATGATGCTGTTTTTAAAAATGCACTACGTAATCCCTAAGTATTTGTGAGAGTTAAAATGACAGTGTTAATATTTTTTTATATTCCTGAATATATCTATAGCAGTACTTATTCTCTTATAATAAAAATGAACCAGGATTTACTCAAAACGTATGTCTGGTATTTGTGAACCACTAATTACACAATGTCTCCTGTCTTAAATCATAATATTTTATTACAGAAGCATGAGATATTTCTTACCTTTAAATCTGTTCTATCACATTTTTAAAAGAGGACTTAGCCCTTCTATTTACTAAATATTTTCCCTCCAAATGACCCCAAATAGTAGCACCTACAAAAGAAGACTCGGACTGAAACTGAAAACATGAAATATTCATCTAATTTATTGTTATGGCCTCCAGAGATAAAGAGAAGAGGTGTGCTGTGAAGTTCCCAACCACCACAAGAGAAGGACGGACATGTCCTCTGTGTTTGGAACTGTCACAAAGTCTCTCCCAGACTTGGGATTTCACCGTCCACTCTGCTCACAGAAGCAGATGGCTTTTATTTTAAAAAGTGGGAAGGGTCATCTCTTTGCCACTTTGGCGAGTCTTATCTCTCACTGATTAGATGACTGTGTTTGTTTGGGCTTATAAACAACCGAAGTGTCTTTCTTGCAGTCTGGAGGCTAGGGAAGTCCAAGATCAAGGTGCCGGCCTACCCGCGCCTGGTGAGGACTTGTCTCCTGGCTCACTGGCCGCTGTCTTCTGGCTGTGTTCTCACATGGTAAAAGGGTGAAGTTCTCCAGGGTCTCTTCCATAAAGGCACTAATGACATTGACAGGTCTCCAACCTCATGACCTTACCACCTCCCACGTGCCCCGCCTCCTAACATCATCACCTTGAAGGTTAAGATTTCACATGAAAATGCTGGGGGAAACCCAAACATTCAGTCTATGTCAGTTATCAGACCGATTAAAGATTTGACCTTTGGGTCCTTCTATATTTATGGCAGCTGCCAGATTAGACTATCAAGCAGAGTAGCAAAGGGCAGCTCTCCTGGGCTGTGGCATCCACCTGGTTCTGAGGACCATCTGAGGGAGGAGGAGCAGGGGTTCTTCCCCTGACATGCTGAAGGCTGGTTTGGTTTTGTCGCATAAGAAAGCCTGAGTGGCAGGGATGACCGGGCACAGATACAATGGGCACAGAGTTCCTCTGCCCATCAGGGCCCTGAGGATGCCCTGGAGCAACTGTGCTCCTCAGATGTTGATTCTGTAGCTGGAGGAAGTGGGGGGGGGGACACAGAAATAGTAGCCATGGAGGAAAACACCACTGTCACCGTGTTTTATGGCTCTTTCCCTAGGAAATTTTGTTTTTCACTTTCCCACCCCATCCTTGCCCAGGGGTCGGAGTAGGGTTCAAATGATTTGTACTAATAGTTGAACTGGATTAAAACATGCAGACATTGACCATCTGCTCCTGTGAGCAGAGTGGACGGTGAAATCCCAAGCCCGGGAGAGACTTTGTGACAGTTCCAAACACAGAGGACATGTCCGTCCTTCTCTCCGCTTGCAGGGCAGCACTCTGGGCACCACCTGTTCTTACCCCAAGTTGGAAAACCCTAAAATAAAGGGTTCTATTAAATGACGAAGTGTCTCCTCTCTCCTCTCTAAGTTCACTTCTTCTTTGCCTTCTTCTGCCGTGTGTCTTCAGCTACCCTTCTCTGGTTCGAGTACTCAGTCTTTTCCCCTCAACGGCAACTCTGCAGAATACCGAAATCACTTCCATTGAAAAAAAAAAATAGGGCTGAGGGTGTCCCTCAGGGATAGAGGGCATGCTTAGCACACCTGAGGCCACAGATCCAATCCCCAGCACCCAAAACCCAAACCCTCCACACTCTCTCATTATGGATTGAATTGTGTCCCCACCCCCCAGATCTACATGTGGCAGCCCTAACTCCACTGGGATGGTTTAGGGAGCTGGCCCGGGGTTTAGTTAGGTTAGGGGAGGTCATGAGACCAGCGCCCTCAGGATAGGACAGGGGTTTATATGAGAAAACAGCTTACCTTTCACTCTCTCTCCACCATGTGAGGACAAAGTCAGGAGATGCCATCTAGGATCCAATAAGAGGTCCTGCTGGGCATGGTAGTGCATGCCATAATCCCAGAGGCTCGGGAGGCTGAGGCAGGAGGATCACGAGTTCAAAGCCAGCCTCAGCAAAAGCAAGGTGCTAAGTAACTCAGTGAGACCCTGTCTCTAAGTAAAACACAAAATAGGGCTGGGGGTGTGGCTCAGTGGTCGAGTGCCCCTGAGTTCACTCCCTGGTACCAAAAAAAGAAAAAAAAATAAAAAGAAGAGGCTCCTCATCAGAAATCAAATCAATCACCTTCATCTTAAGACTTTGAGGCTCCACAACTGAGAAAATAGGCTGTGTGTGTGTGTGTGTGTGTGTGTGTGTGTGTTGTTGGGGACAGGACCCAGGCCTCACACTTGCTAGGCAAGTGCTTTACCATTGAGCTACACCCCCAGTGAAAAAATAAATGTTTGTGATGTAAGTCACCCAGGCCATGGTAACTTATCGTGACCGCCAGAGTGGGGACCGCCACGCAGCCTGCTCTCCAGTTGCCACAGCTTCTGCCTCGTCACAGCCAAGTTTCTGAGGGCAGTGTGGAGTGGAGCGTCTCCATTTCCTCACCTTCCCACCAGCTCCTCACACCCCCAACCTGGCTTCCACCCACCTCAGTACCCTAGAGGCTCTCTGGGGTCGCCAACCTCCGCGGGGCCCCTCTCCCATCCTCCCGTCCTCCTTGACTGTGCTCTGCTAGCTGTCCCCTCTCCTGCTGCTGCACCTCAGTTCCCTGCTGCGCCTGATTTCAGCTGCTGCCCGAGGCCTTCTTCTCTTCTCCTAGACTCTCCCCTCAATTATCCCTTGCTGGCCAACGACTTCATCTTCAGCTGGAACCTGTCCTCGCAGCCCCAGATCCTCAAATGCTGGACATTTCTATGAGAATCATCCCAAGCCCAGCAGGTCAGACCCCACTCAAAGTCCAAGCCCCCTCTCCTGGTTCTCTCTCTGTGCCCCTCACCACCCTGCACCCAGGCAAATGAGTCAGAAACGTTAGGAATCGCTCATCAGGCTCACTGACGTCCATGGCCCTTCCTCTCCAACCTGCCAGGCAGCAGCTTCAGAACTGGGAGGTCTGGGCCCGCCCTCTCCATCACCAGCATGTTTTGCCTAGTGCAGCCAGAGGAGTGTTCTTCCAAGTACAAACCCAGTCGTGTCTTGTTCCTGATGAAGACCTTCAGGGACTTTTCACCACCATTACGATAAAGATCAAAATCCCAGTAAGGCCTAACGACAACCCTGCAGAGGAATCTGGTAGGCAGGTGGGACAGCAGGCAAGGGGTCTGATCTTTGCTTCTTTTCAGCTGTTAATCAATCATCTATCTCTGTGACCAAAATCCCTGAAAAGAGCAACTTAAGAGGAGAAATAATTTGTTGGGGACTCATTGGAGATCTCGGCTAGCTGAGTCCATGGCTCTGGGCCCAAGGTGAGGCAAAGCACACCCCGGTAGAGGGGTGTGGCCGAGGGAGTGGATGGGGGAAGAATTCTTCCGGGACAGCCTTCGGTGACACACCTCCTTCAGCCACACACCCCACCTGCCTCGGGACCACCCAGTTAGTCCATTCAAACTAGGATGGACCCATTAGGTTACAGCTCTCATAATCTGATCATTTCACCTCCGAATATTCCTGCATGAACAGAAACTGGGGGACACCTCATATCCTAACTGTAACACCAGCTCCCCTCTCACCACACTTGTCTTCATTCTCTACTCCACAGGGGCCATGCTTCCCCCGACAAAGGACCTTTGGGTGTGCTGTCCCACCTGCCTACCAGATTCCCCTGCTACCTGTCCTGAGATATGATTTGGATCATCACCCCGAAACAGATACAAAAGATATATTGAAGTCCTAACCCAAGAATCTGATTTGGAAATAGGGTCCTTTATGGAGGTCACTGATACGTGAGGTCATGGGGGTGAGCTCTAATCCAGTGTGACTGGTGTTCTTATGAAAAGGGATTTTGGACGAGAGACAGGTGCACACAGAGAGAAGGGGACATGTACGTTCACTGGGAGAAACCAGCCACATGCCTGGACAGATGCATCTACAAACCAGGGGACATCAAGGATGCTAGCAAATATCAGAAGCTAGGAGAGACAAGGAAGGATCCTACCCTGGGGCGCTCAGAGAGAGCACAGCCCCACAGACACCTTGATTTCAGATTCCTAGCCTCCAGAACTCAGGCAATACATTTCTGTTGTTTCAAGCAACCCAGTTTTGGGTCCTTTGTTATAGTTGTCAGGGAAATAAATATATCCTACAATTCCCTTTAAGTCCACTCAAATCAAACTCCCCCAGGGAACGTGTCCTGGACTTCCTGAGCCGAACTCTCCCAGTATACAAGTGGCACTCGGCTTCCCTTCATAGCAATGCCACAGCTGTAACCGGACATTCATGTATATAATTATTTGACTAATGCTCTATGTCTCATTAGGCTTCAAAGAGCAGGTACCTTCCTTCAGCTCAATGTAGTGAGTGCAGAGCACATAGTAGAGCTCCATAAATATGTGCTGGAGAGGAGAGAAGAGGAGGGGAGGGGAGAGAAGAGGAGGGGAGGGGAGAGGGAGGTGGGGAGAGAAAGGAAGAAGCATCTTGGCGGTGAGATTAGAGGTCAAGACCTTAAAGAAGGCAACTTGGGAGATGGTTTGGCCTGATATAATTTTCAGAAGAGCCCCAGATGCCTCCCATTTATGCCCTCTGAGGTCATTAAGGTTAATTTCATAAAGAAGTATTCTGCACACCTGTAATCCCAGCAGCTCAGGAGGCTGAGACAGGAGGATCGCAAGTTCAAAGCCAGCTTCAGCAACTTAGCAAAGTACTCAGCAACTCAGTGAGACCTTGTCTCTAAATAAAATACAAAATAGGGCTGGGGATGTGACTAAGGGGTTGAGTTCCCTTGAGTTCAATCCCCGGTACCCTAAAAAATAAAAATAAATAAATTTTAAAACCCAAAAAGGTCTGGGGGTGTGGCCATAAAACACCTCTACCGTCAGCTGATTCCTTCTTTCTATAACTACGGGGGAGTTTGAAATAAACACGCCCCCAGAGACACAGGACATCAATCTAGATGTGCATTAGCATGGTAACCACATATTCTTCCCAGAAAGCAAGCTTGAAGAGGGGCAACTGTGCAGAAAGCTCAGTCAAGACCCTGAGGTCTAAAGGTGGAAACTGTGACTTGATGACCAGGCAGGAGAAAGTGGGGACTAGGATGGTGTCAAACGTCCTGATGTCCCTTTCTTGCTAGGGCTCAGCTTACTGTTGATCCCAAACAGACTCTCACCCTATTCCTCAGCCTGGGCCAGTGAGACCTTCTCCCAGGGCTTTCTAACACAGTGCTTGGCGATGCTTGGCGTGCACTGGCACCTGGGCAGCCATTCCCCTTTCCAACTAGATGCATGTGAACGGGCAGCAGAGCTGTACTGCAGGTGCCCACCCCCAGAGAGGAGTCACACCCCTGACTTAAGGTCACAAGGCTCTTTCACTGTAATTAAAACCGACCAACTTCCACCAGCATCTTTTTTTTCCACTTTTTTTTTTTTATTGGTGCATTATAATTGTACATATTGCCATCGACACCTTGATCCCACTAGGGACACGCCACCACACATGGCCAGTTATCAAAGGACAGACATCTGTTTAGGGAGAACAAATTCTAGAACCCAATGAAGAAATGATTCTCAAATTCTATTAAAAAGGACTTTCTGCTGAAGATCTGCAGAAAGACCTGGATGACTGCTTTTATATAGCACTTTTTAAAGCTACAGGAGTTCACTTTTTTCTCTGCTGTCAGTGTACCTTTAATGGCACCAACAGGGGAAACAGAGTTTTTCCTTCATTGCCCCAACACAGGATACATTTCTATAACAATGACTGAACACCCCAAAATTCTTCCCATTCATGCCCTCTGATATTTTTAAGGCTAATTTCATAAGGAATTAGTCTGAGCCATGAATGGTAGTGCATTCCTGTAAATCCCAGCAGCCCAGGAGGCTGAGGCAGGAGGATCACAAGTTCAAAGGCAATTTCAGCAACTTAGTGAGGCCCTAAGCAACTTAGTAAGACCCTCTCGCAAAATAAAAAACAAAAAGGTCTAGGGATGTGGCTCAGTGGCTCAGTGCCCCTGGGTTAAATCCCCAGTACCCCCCCAAAAAAATAGTCTAAGATTTATTAAAATCCTTGACTTTTAGAATTTGAGTACAGAAACTTCAATCTCCCTGCCAGTGAAAAAGTATATTCTATAAAACCCCCAAGTACAGGCCGGAATTTATGCTTGAGTCTCCACAGAAACAAGGATCTGATTTGCTTCTTTTCTGGTCAATTTATTCCACCATTGAGCAATTGTGCTTTGAAGATTTTTAAAATATCTCATTACATGAGATCCTATATAGACAAATGGTTTAATTTAAATTTTACACTAGGGCTGGTGGTGTAGATGAGTGGTAGAGCTCTTGCCTAGCATGTACGCAGTTCTATGTTCTCTTCCCAGCACTGCCAAGAAGAAGAAGAAACTTTTACACTGGTACCTTATTTTTCCAAAGTTAATTGCCCAAAGATAGAGATTTTAATTGCCTATTTACATAAAAGGCACAAAATTGACGATGATTTTTATTTTTGAATTTATGGCCACTAGAATATTCTTATGGCATGAGAGAACATAAATGAAACTTTGAAATTAAACAGAGAGCTATATAATTAAATATCTATACAAGTAAATTACACATTTGCAGTCCTTCCCCAAAGTTCAGTTTCAGAATCATTTCAAAATTCTAACTTTTTGAGGGGAGGGGAGGGGAGGGGGGATAGGAAAGGCAGCAGAATACAACAGACTCTAGTATGGCAGTATGTGTAAACGTGGCTGTATAACCAATGTGATCCTGCAATCTGTACACGTGGAAAAATAAGATTTCATACCCCATTTGAATCAAATGTATGATATATAATATGTCAAGATCATTGTAATGTTTTGAGAAACTAATAAAAAAATTAAAATAAAAAGATCAAAAAAATTCTATTTTTCTTAAAACTTGAATCTCACAAAACATTATTTA